AGAAAATTTCTAGCAACAGAACAATGTCTTACATTATAAAAAAAAAACTATTGAAAGTTGATTCCGAAGTTCATGCCCCTATCCTACCATAAAATAAAAAAATTTATTAAACTGAAAACATTGAGACATTTTTACCACCCAGCAATACTATACTAAATTGGTCTTTCACCATCTTTCGATACCAGGCGGAAGTAGTAGAACCAATAAAGCTTGCTCCAGACACAGTTTTGCACGTATACTGCTATGATATACTGTAACAAAAAGCGAACTTTACTTACTACTACCACAGTTTCAATCGAAATCCCAATTTGCAACAACTTTGACAACGAAAAGAGAAAACGGGAGAGATTCAAACTAGCCGTCAAATCCGGAGATTTGGTGATTAAAAGTGTCCTTTTTGCAGTCTTTTTTTTTTGGTAGAATTAGTGGCAAAATTCTAAGTGCAACCACGTACACTTGGGCCATGTTTGCTATGGGGATAAAACACTCTCAATCAGGTGCCCCGGGTTCGAAATGGGTAACCGATACGAATTCCGCTCCCGGCTCGCACCAAACACAGTGCTGATGTAAAATATCCTCAGTGGTAGATGGATGATGGGTTAGAGGCCCCTTGCCAACATTCAAACCATATAAGGAACCACATAAGAAATGCGGAAAAGGCTTCAAGAAAGAAATTTTTCGATTGAAAATGAAGAAGATTCGACGTCAACTTCTTTAAATATTTAATTAAGTGAGTATCAAATTTCGTGTTCCGGAAAGAACTTACAGTAAAATTGAATTGAAGAGCGTTTCTCTAATTTACAATTAATTTGAACCTTCAAAATATGAATAAATAGGCTTTTTGCCAAGCTGCTCTTCAGGACGAAAATCGAGATATTTTCCTTAATGTTCGCGATATTGGTTACAATCTAGAACAAGTTTGTATCTAAAAGGATCAATTTTCCTTCATGCTTTGTGCTCATTGTGATTATGAGTCAATCACTTTTTTACTTCTTACCACAGTCATAATAATATATATATTTTAAAACAACCCGTATATTTCAGCTAAAAATGTTTCAAAAAATTAAAATATCCATCAAGTTTTTGTTTTTAAACATTTAAATTTTTTAAAAAATTTATTTAAATCAAAAAAATAATACATTTGAAATTGAATAAAACATATTATATAATCCGCATTTTTAGAACATGAATATGAAGATAAAATCCAAACGTCCAAGCTGGTGTTTGAACCCTGTACCTCTCTGGTAAAAGGCGGACAAGCCTACTGTTGCGCTATGAAACCAAACCATTTGTAAAATTTTGTTAATTTAAAATTAAAAGAACTTTATTGGGGCATATTATTTTATTCCAGGGACAGCACAGGTGACTCATTTTTACCCTATCTGAGGTTTTTTCAAATGTTCTTTTTATAATAAGTTCAATTTCGTTTTATTACTAATTTAATGGATGCCTACTTTTTTTGTGAACCAGAATATCAGCGTTTGACGTGCGTGCTTATTGCCATAAAAATTAGGGCTCCTAAAAAGAAATGAAATTTTACATTCGTAAATACACCGTTGATACATGATTAAACGCAAAATGATTATTTATTGTTACAAATGAATGGAGGTTTTAGTACCCTGCCACATCTAGCACAAATGCAGGTTATAATGAGTCTCTTTTGATGTCCTGTGGTGCTTCACAGCTGCAGTAAACACACCGGTGAATCGACTGTACTTGGAGGTTGTCCAGCTTGCCGTATCAAGAGAATTATACTCGTCCGGTGACAAATTTGGGGATAAAATGGGACCTTGATGTCTGTGGCGGAGCAATATCTTCTTGAAAAATGGCTCCTAGAAGCCCTGCGATAAGTGGCAACACATGTGACAGAAAGATGTCACGAATATGTACCGCTGGGTTGTTATTCTTCGGTGTATCAATGTTACGGGTGATCATGTGTCGTATGCAATTCCATCATACGAACCATGCGATGCCTCCATACCATCACATCAGTTGTTGAAGTGCTGCTATGAAACGTAAGCGATATTAATATCTTTCACGAAGAGAATCTCCACATTCGTACACGATAATTATCTCTATCTATATTAAATCTGGATGTATCACTGAAGACGCTCCAGTCGGTTGAAGTCTGATGGACACCACTCCCAATGGGGAAAACGGTGGATAAGTGTTAATCCTGCCAACGCTGTACAGCGACGTAAAAGGTGCACAAAGGTTTAAAATAAGGCATTCATTTATAAAAATAGGCTTACCAGAGACTCAACTTCCGAGGGTAAAAGTTTCAAAATAATGCGAATTTCAAAAAAACAGCTGGGACCATATCGCTGGTTCAAAACTAAAACGACACTTCTGCACTCACTTTTCATGTTATTTGAATGAGAAGTGAGTGCAGAAGTGTCATTTTAGTTTTGAACTAGCGATATGTATAGTATTACATAATATTTCAGTTTACGTACTAAAGCTTTTACAATGCAACTCTTCCCACTGCAGACGGTTAAAAATTTTGATGCATAAAAATTTAAAAAAATAAATTAATAAATTATGTATTTGTTAAATATAAGGATTATTCGAAGTACCTAAATATATTTTGATTTCAAAAAGAAAATAATTCTTTTACATACATTTGATCCCAAGTAACAATTTTTCAAATCACATGCGATTTTTTATTTTCTTTTTAAGTAAACATCGATCGATCCTAATGCACGCTCTGTTTTTGTTTACTAACCTCGTCTATTGCTCCATTTCAAAGCTCTCCTACCCATTTTTATACTTTTTAAACTGAAAATATGCAATATTATCATTTTGTAGCCTAAGTCAACTATTGATATAAAAATTCTTATATAT